CATTAACGATAGCCAAATGGCGGCCGCTTTAAGGCCGAAAATGCATTGAAATCGCACATTTTCACCATTCCGGACCCGTATCTCAGTTATGCATGGACGGATTTCATTCAAATTTGGTACATACATTAAACATAATAGGACCTTGATGCACGTCTTTTTTTTTCGGATCAAGTTCGAAATAGCCGACTGGCGGCCATTTTGTTTTAAAGAATTCAGTTCTGGATCCGTATCCAAGACATGTCTGGATTGATCAAGTTCAAACTTCACACACACATGGTACATCATGTCACAAATAGATATGTGCATTTGTTTCATGATCTGCTTAACAATAGCGGAATGATGGCCATTTTAAGGCCGAAAATGCATCAAAATCACATATTTTCACAATTCCAGAACCGGATCTCAGTCATGCATGGATGGATTTTGTTCAGATTTAGCACAATGTGTTGTACATATGCAGGTGCATTTCGGTCATGATCTGCTTTGAATGTATATGTCACTCAAATATGAACGGAACGGGGACGTGTCATTGACAATGACTTGTTCACTTTGGTTTTGAAACAGTTCTCTATGTATTTTGCTATTTGTTTTATTGCATTATCATTTTCATTATTTAACAAATATTTAGTTTTTCTTCATTTTTTTCTGAATGTTGGGGTAACCGCTGATAAAGTTTTTTCCGTTCCTCTGCGAAAAGATCACATGTTAGCAGAAAATGTTCTTCCTTCTTTATGGCGTTCTTCTCACAAAATAAACACTTTTTGTCAGATATACAATGTATCTGTGTTGTTATATCTCCCAGTCTCTATTTGTAGTCTGTGAGCACTAATCCTCAATTTTGTCATTGATGACCTGTGATGAGTATTTTTGACTATGTAAGTAGTTTTCAAAGCCAGTGCCGGTTTTCAGTTCTCTGTAAGTGCACAATTCATTTTTGTGATTTTTCCCTTTGTTAACATTGTCTAAAATCTTTATACAATTTGTTTAAAATTTTGTTTTTAGTTTTTCTGATATTACTTTAATTATAATTAAATAGTTCGCGTTTTCTATTTTCCCCCTCATGCCACAAATGGTCTATATACCTATACTTCTTCAAGGCACAGTCCCTCAACATCGATATTGAGGGACTGTGTTTAAAGATAAGTTTTAAACCAGAGACCCAGTTGTAGATGCCAGAGTTGTCTAGTTCTAAGTCAAGACTGTATGCTTCATATACCAGAGAATTTTCAGGCATTTTTTTAATTCAAGCCCATTTGATCATCTGTTTATACCTGCTTTAATTAATGGGTACCTTCCTAATTCTAAAAGACATTCCACATTGATCGCTTTGCTGTTAATTATGAGTAGGTATTTGCAGTATTTTATGTATAATAGTTCCATTGGTGACATATATACATATATAGTTGTTGATGTTTAGTTTAACTATCTGACCAGATTTCTGCATAGTATAAAAGTATTGTTTTTATATGTATATATGTATCTAAGAATAATAATTGAATAATTGCAGCATTCTTTCATAGCTCTATTTTTAAAATCTTTTTGTGCCAAGTCAAATTTACCATTTGTTTTCAATTTAATTCTAAGATAAGTGCAGGTTGACACTATTCTACACCATCTATGTGAAAATTTGAATTTCTAACGTGCTTGCCAATTTTGTAGAATACTATAGTTTTTGATTTATTTATATATACAGTAGCCCCTCGCTAAGTCGCGGGTGTCGGGATCCAAGCAAAAACCGTGACTTATCGAGGGCCGCGACTTACCGAGGGACGTCGTGAAAGAGGGAGATCGTGCATTGAAAAACATATAAAAAGCACATATAAACCCTCGGTTTAGTTAATTGATGTGTCATCACATGTGTCAGGCAGTATTCGAATAAAATCATGATTATGTTTTTTTTTGCAGTACATTTGAAGACTGTTCAGCTAACCTGAATTGCTTTCTGATACTAGAATTAAGTCATCTGCGTATAGTAAACATGGCAGTGTATTATTTCGCAAAGATGGCAGGTTGTTCTCCCCATGTTTATGTGTTCTTTAATGTCATTTACATATATATTAAATAGCAGTGGGCTTAGGCAATCCCCTGCCTCTTTCTACTGAATTTTTTTTTGTTTTTACGCATAATGTGTGAGCAATTATAGGTTTGCTGATGTAAAAAAATGTATGAGAATACAATTTACAGTTTTTTATATCACTTTAAATTGAAGTTAAACATCTAGAGAATGAAAAGTGAAAAAATTGTAAATTGCATGTTCTTACATTTGCCGAGCTCTTTCATCTGGGAGTATTATGTTGTTAGGCTTGACTTTTCCTTTAAACTTTTCACCACCAGTTCTCTGTTTTCATCACAAATTCACAAAATAGTCCTGTTTATATTCTGCACTTTCCGTCAGAAGATTGGGACAAAAATAGCCACATTTTTGAAGTGAAAACTGAAAATTTACCCAAATTTTTTTCTGTTGGCTCCAAACTCAGGGTTCATTTCTCGAAATATTGAAGAATATAAAAAAAGGTCAGAATAAATTGGACGAGCAAGTCTGGCGTTGAGAAGATTAAGAGGTGGAGTTTCTTTTAAAATTTGTTTCAAGGGTTTGTTTTGAGGAATTTGGCCTTTGTGATTGTCACCAAAAGTTAGTGTCTCACATATCCATATAACCCGTAAAACAAGATCTCCCTCGGGAATCATGATAAAAGGCAGAATCGAGGCCGGACCACCTAGGTATATCGTGTCTGAGACAGCATCCTTTACTAATCATGAAACCGAAAGTGCCAGTCTGGATTGAAAGTAACCTACCGGTATATACAGGTATTGACTTTATGATAACTGATGACGTATGTATGTACGTCGCTATATTTAGCAAGGTGGGTTAGTTACAACTTTGGCATGAGTCATTCAGTAATGTGACCATGAGTAATGTTATTTAGCGCCCTCTACAGTATAACAATTTCATGCACCACTTTCAGTTTACTGGCTCCCAGCATCCCTTGCATATGGCAAGTAGGAGTGGGTGGCTTGTGGCTTGGTGTGCCAGGCCCAGGGGGTGCCAGGACACTTGAGTCTTGTACTGAAAAGCATCTTTTTTTTTTTAGCTAGAATGTTATTTTAGCTAAATTGTCATTATGCTAATTCAAGATGCAGTTTTTTTTAAAAATAAAGTGTATTTTCACAATGAGATTGTTGACACTTACTTCTCTGAATTAACTTATTTGTGAATAGTGGATAGCATACTGCTTGTGTATGTGAAACCAACTAAGTAGACAATTTTTTTTTAAATATTTATTAAATAATAACTCACTTGTTATACATTATGGAAAATATGTTCGAGGTGAATGACTTTTTCACAAAAAAAAAAAGAAAAATCAATACGAGTGGCAGTCTAAAGCCTGTTGATAATGAATACCTATTCTCAAACTATTTGAAAGATTCCCTTATATGAGGAAGTGTTTCAGTCTGAAGTTTGAGATCAAAATCAATAGAAAAAATTTACACAAGTGTGAATGCTGATTTGAGTGGAAGTCTCACTTCCACCAGCATGCAACTCGACAAATACAAATTCTCAAACTTGGTCTAAAAATGGAATCAACTAAAAGCAGAAGTGAGACCAAATTTACAGTGGAAATATTGACGTACAAAATCAGTTAATTGGTATGTACAGTAAATTAAAAAAAAAAACGGATATAAAAAAAATTCATGCTTTAAATAATAAATTTAGTCCTTGTTTAAATCTTAAGTAAATCTATCAATTCCAACAATTATACGGTAGTTTTAAAACAAAAGTACTTGCGGGTTTACAATCCACTCTACCGAATATACGGTTACTTGCTGTATGATAAAACATACATACATAGGTAGATACAAACATGATATACCAAACAAGGTACTTAAATGTGTTGATATTAACAGTAACTAAACAATGTGACCCTATATCACTGTAGTAATTGGGATCCCTATATTGAATTCTATTAAACAACTTTCTGAGCTCTGACCAGCAGAACAAAAAAAAAAAATGGAATTTTAAGGTAATTAAATACAAATAATAACTTTACACAGTCTCAGACCGTTTTTCTCTTTCTAACATTATGCATAATATAAAAATACATTTAAAAATGTCTTAAGTCACATTATGGCTCATACAATTGGTTTCTTATTGCATCATGACAATACAAAATCTCACTGGAAGTAAAAGTGTTTTTGTGCTCATGACTGATTATATTGCTGAACATACACATATTATTCATATTTATTGTTCTGGCAATCAGTTTTTCCATCCATATGCATTTTTGCCGAACTTGTAAACAAGTCTACGGCCATCAACTCGCTCAAGAATGTCTCTCTTGTAGTAATACCTCATGGCTCGGCTCAGTTTCTCATACGTCATTCTGGGATTGTTTTTCTTCCTGCCCCAGGCAAAAGCGATACGTTCAGATTGGACGATTTTGAACATGCCCGTTTTGTCATCTTCCCACCTTATGTATTCCGGGTTGAACTGACTGTTTTTCAGGAGATCGCGAATGAATTCCCACAAGTGGTTTCCTTTCATTCCTGGAAGATTAAAATAAACAAAAACGTTAAATGAGATATTTAACATCTGCACTGAACTGATGAAATGAACTCAATTTGAATTTTATTTCCATGGTAACACTGCATCATGCAGCCTAGCAACACAGCAATCTTGAAATACTGATTCAATCAACTGCAGTGTGGCCCTTGTTTTCCATCATCATAGTAACTCACCTTCTGTCTTCCTGGAATAAGCGAACTCATCATCATCATCACTGGAGAATGTCTTTTGTTTGCGTGGTCTACCAGGTCTTCTGGCTGGGCGCTTAATCAGTTTCAAGTTTTTGCCACCAACATGTCTACGTTTTGGAGGTACATTCACATCTACTGGCAGCGACTCGGTGCTGAAGACAGAGTGATTATCACTTGAGCTGTCACTTTCATACGAATCTGTTGAACAGAGGAAAAAAACAAATCTAGTGAATTAATTGAACCCGAGAAACGCATGTACATGGAATGTATTTCTAAGAATGAACAACTTATTCATTTAAGCAGGGATGTGCCTCACCTTCTCCTAACGAATCTTCTCTAGTTCTTGCAAAGCCACTTTCAATTCTAGTGAATATATCCATTGGTTGGTCAGGGCTTGGTGGTTCAGATGGCTCTGACTCAGTGTATTGAGAGCTGGATGCTGAAGGAGACACTACAGGTACGTCGTCGTAAGCATTGGTAGGTGCCGACTCAGCTGAAAAAATGAAATATTACATTACAACCTTGCACTTGAATATCATTTTATTACTTTGCACTATGGTTATTACTTAAGTAAGATGATGTAAAAGATGCTTACCACCAAGTTCATTTATGAAGTTCAAGAATTCTTGACAAGGTTCATGTTCAGTTGGGAATATTGCATTCTTTATATCTATAGTAGTAAAAAAATAAATAATAATTAAAAGATATATTTTGCAAATATTGGAAATTTGCATTTCTTGTCTGTAGAGGGCGCCATAACAATACCTACTAAGGTAAACAAGTATAAATTTGGACTTACCTTCCATAGGAAGTACATCATCATCAAAGGGCATGGGAGCCATGTCATTTGTAAAACTGTTATCTTCACTGAAGATAGAGGGTTCATTAATATAGCATGCTGTAATAAAAAAGAAAAACAAATTTAGTATTAAAAAAACAAAAAAAACCATCAACTTCTACCAAGTTTTATTTTTTGGTTGCAACCATTTTGAATATTAAATTATTAGACTCCTACCTTCATTATGAAGCGATCTTTGAAAAAGTAATTTCTCATACAAAATGGCACCATTCTTTGTGGCATTCTGCATGAAATCGTCTTTCGTCATCTGCATTAACTGTTGACCAGTTAAGTTGAAATCTTGCATCTGTATGTCGCTGTAATCGTCAATCTCGTACATACATTGGCGTAACCAGCTCAGCACGTGCTCCTGCGTCCACAGGTAAGGTGACATGCTTTTCCATTCATCATACAAACCTAAAAAAACAAACCAAAAAATAAATTCAAATTGAGTTTTGGAAGAAAAATGTTTTACATTTAAGTTTAATAGGATACAATGGTGTTCTTCAAGTTCATTAACATGAAAACAAAAAGCAAGCTTCAAAGTTATTTAGGTATTCATATGCTAATGAGTTGCAGGTCAAAGTTCATTAGCAACTCGAGCAACGCAATGAATCAACGTTTAATCTAGGGTGTGGCAAGAACAAACACGTCTTACTCAGAATGATACATTATACAGATAGTGTGATGTGAACTGCAAGATGTTATGGTAACTGCCATGCGCAATAAAAAAACAGCACCCACCTGTTCCCGACTCGGTGTATCTTTCTTGCATGTTAATGGTGCCCGTACTGGAGGCAGAACGTAAAGTAGTATACACAGGAGATACAGGTGGTGATGACTGTGGCAAGTTGACCTTACATCCGAGGCCAATGTCACTCAATCTATCGTTTGACATCGGGGGGTCTGCGTAGAACTGATCATAAGTTGGCCTCACTTCCACTCGCGGCCTCTGCAAGAATTAAGCAAATGCCAAATGAAGTAAGTAACTGAAAAATCACCACAATACACATGGTCACCCAGCTCCGTATGGCTTTTAATTTTAATTTAACTTATATTTTAATTTCGTTTAAAATAGTTAAGGTTCTTACCGCAGGGAAGTCCTCCAACAGGCTCAGTTCGTCCAGGATCCACGATGAGTTCATGTTGCTATTCAAACTCAAAACTGGCTGTAACAGTGATATTCTTCGATACGGGTAAGGATTTGCGAACACTTGGTTTTTTATCACAATAACTGAAACAAAATGAGTAACAAGAACATGAGGGAGGAGAAAAAAAATGCTTGCCATATTTGGAGATCTTACAGCAGACCAGGTGAGTCAACAAACGTACTTGGTATGATGACGCCCACTCAACTTAAATGAAAACTTTTTTTTTTCAGTCACTCCGTGGGTGAGTAAATATTATGCGGGGGGTGGGAGTAGATACACGCGAAGCGACCCAGGATGATCAGGCAACAAATACGATACGAAACAGTACAGTGTCGTGACACACAGGACCGAAATATGTGTGCAACTACTAGTAGTAGTGGTCAGAGTATCGGGCATTATGATCGGCGGAGACTGCTCAACCTCGGAGTCTCGGTGGTCAACCGACTTGATCGGCCCGTGACGTTCAAAACACTGCAACGGGACGCAACTACTACTATAATCCAACCATACGACCAGTTAAAAAAGATCAGATCCAGAAGAACAGGTAGTACACATGAATGGTTAATTTACCTGTGAAAATTTCACTTCAGTGACGGTGAGTTTCGTTGAGGCCCGATAATTCGCTGCTAGTCCGGGTGATTGCGCGCTGAGTAACACGCTAAGTGTCCCAACATTTGCAGAAAGCGCTGTCTCACAACTGGTGTGACTCCAAGTTTGCTAGTGACTATGAATACCCGCCCACTCGCTTCCTTATTTATATACGTGAACGGTACTGCGTAGGGAAAGTCCCTTATTTCCACCGATCACCTTGCTGTGAGAGATGATTGGTCAGATTGGTCTGAGCTCATCAATTAACATGCAAGCCAATCAACACTGAGCTTTTGTAATAATTGAGTTCCAGGTACGGTACTTCGTGGAAATCCCAATCAATTGTGGCATGTATGACAGCCTTTGTTACAATCTATTTATAGATCTAAAATTTCCCTGCTACGGAGGATATCATACCACCGGTTTCGCCCTTCAGAGTGTGTGATCTAATACCCTAGTTTCGATCATAGCTTGAAGTCAGGGGACGCATGTGACACGCACTGTTTTTCTTTTTTTTGTTGATATTTGTATTTCAATACCTCCAAGTGAAATTACGCAAAAAATAATATAAAAATTCCACCGTCAGTTGCTAGGGTGCTGATCGACTCATGACGCATGCGCGTACGCGATTTACCGATAGTAAGCAATCATATACTAGTATTCATTGTCCACTATGTAACCATGGCGAACACCGAAACGAAAAGATTGTCAAGGGGCGTACCATTATGTTTACCGCGGATAAGCTTGATTCAGACACTCGTCGTCAAATCAAGGTAATAATCTTAGATAACATAAAATCTTTTATCGGCGAAAAATAGAGCACTACAACATTGACACATGCCATGTGAAAAAAAAAAACACTTCCCAACCAGCTAAGAAACTATCCTGATCACATTCTAACACTGTGGCTTATCGCAGCTTAACGACGACTCAAAGCAAAACATGTGTATGTGTTTTTATAAGTTTCGCAGAAACAGACTGGCATCCGGTTCTTATATATTGTCGTCTGAAGTTTCCGTGGCACAGCCCCGATTTGCGAGTGTGACAACAAAAGTATCATGGTACGCCTACGTCGTGGCTGTAAAGCTTGATCCCATGACCCATCTTCTCTAATGTATATGCTAGACCTAAGCACTGTATTTAGCAAGGGGTAAACAATTTGAATTCATGGGGGGGGGGGGGGAGAATGGAGCCAGTGCATATTTTTTTTAAAGTAAGGAGTCTTGTTAGTACATTTTTCTTTTCCTATTGTACCCACACGTTGCATGCATTGCCCCCTCGGTGTCTTGAGTGTCATTTTTGAAACATCGTTTTTTCAGCCACCCTCTATTATTTCAATGGTTGACCCCTGATGTCATCAACGCAGTGATTGGAGAGACCCGCTGATGACAATTTCGAAAAGTGTCAGAATTGAAAAATCAAGTGCACAGAAAAAAATAGAGCAAAAAATCCTGCACGGATCAGTGACAGTGAAACAAAACAATCCGCACGCCTAAATCTCAGGGGGGGGGACATCTTTAACACAGTGAGGGAGTAACACAACAATAATATTTTGCACAGTGTTTCTGCCATCACCCCAACCCAGAGTTCCCAGCGATTCAACCTAAGGCAAGATTACTTGTGTCTTCTTGAAGTGAAACATTCGGTCTAGCTGTTTACATGGCTTTCATGCCCCTAAGCAGAAGTTTGTTTTTTTAAAATCACAACTTCCCCCACGCGTTCAATCAATCATCAAGACTCCTTGGCTAGCTGGATTTTAAAAGGGTCAAATAAAACAAAACACCGTCATATCTAACAGGAACGATTTTCAGCGCTCACATAGCAGTGTATTTTTTTCTGTATGTAGCGAACACAGTTGTTGGATATGTGTTTAAATAATCAATCTGACCATGACACTGCCTTTTACCTCCATGATCTGACTTAAAAACAAAATTCTGACACGAGTTTTTGAATGTCATGGTGTACCCGTATGTGTGGAAAATCGACAGTGAAACTTTATCCCACTTTTTGATAGGTATTCAGATCCATTAGGCGGGAAATAAGATGCAGCTAATTCCAATACCCCCCCCCCCCGCGTGGTAAACATTAATAGGCGCATCATTAGCCATGTAAACAGAAACTGATGTAAACTCCTATCACATCGCATCACATTACCGGTTCATAGACACTGATCATCTAAGGTCACGGCGTAAAAGTGCCGGTTCAGTACTCTCGGCATTGTAAGTTCGGGAATTTTCCCATCACCTTTTCAGGTTGACTTGTAATAGCCCAACATGTCCATTACAGCCGCGCACGATGCTAAAGTTCGTATTGCGGTTAAATTCGTTCCTTTCTAACTGGAAATGTAATTTGAATTTTTTATATAATCTACACACATATTTAGTGACCGGACGTTACGCTTACTATGTATCACCGCCTGTTATCACCTGATAACAAGCTCGAAGTGTCAGCACGTAAACATTTAAATAAACATATAAAGATTCAGTTAAAATTATATTCCATGTAACTAGTTGATAACTCATGGTCTTATTTTACAAACTTGTCAACGTTTCAGAGTTTCGCCTAGCAACGAAACTATGACAATAATAAACATTCTACCTCACCGTATTTCACTTTCGTGAAGTGACCTTGAAGTTTAAGTACACGTGTAATAAATAACTGTTAATAAATACATTTTATATGTAGTTCATATTAGCCTGAACACGACTATTGATTTGCAGTTTTTTTTTTTTTCTAGGCGGGTGATCTTTATTTTGACCGAAATATAGGAATGACTATTACGCGTGATACAGGTGACCGAGACAAAGAAAGTAACTGACACGCCTTCACGTCATGACTGGGACCCACTAACCTTACGAAGTCTTCATTTCTTTTCAATAGCGATCAAAATGAAAATGTCGAAATATCGGTTCACGGGAAATATCGGGATTTGCGGGAGTTCAGTGGGCTCACACAGCTACACAGTGTCAATGCATTAGACGTAGCACATAATAACTGCTATGAGTCGTGAGATACAGTACTTACGATCACCGTGATTTGCATATGAAGCCGCTGTACCTGGTACACTGAGAACTGGGTGAACATACGTGTGTGTAGCGACGTCCAGCTTTGAAATGTGATTAAAGTTTACAATACATGCTGTATTTAACCGCACCCTTATATAAGCACTGTTAGACTAAGGAGTCTCTTCCCCTGTTCTCGGAACTATTCATTCTATGTAATCAACAACCGCACGCAACTTTCGAATATTTTCATCCTGATGATTGCTTAAGCCATGCGCGCGAAAGATAAGTTTATTGTGGTTATTCCAAACTAGACAAAAATACAAAATGATGAAATGAACTATCATAACAAAAAAGTCAGGTTTCGCTGATTTTGTAAAATATATGTCTACCAAATATATACGGACATATAATTTATAAATACACCGAAGTTGTGTCACGCAACAGAAAAGTCCCAGATGCCACCATAACACACACACAGACCCACCCACATCAAGCAAAAATGGTACACTCCAAAAGTGTCCTCGGGTTACAGTATCATTCTCCTGGCACATGTAGTTACTGAAAAATATTGTAATATCATATCTTGTAAGGTATTGTATTGCCGGACTTTCGAAGAATTCGTGTTTTACTCGAATTATCGTTGCTCATTGAACTATCACGTAACCTGTCGATACATTCATTGACTCAGGAACATGTGAACGTAAAACTCACACGAGTCTCAATAAAAGTATTGCTATAATGATTATTATGCCTGGCCCACTCTAAAATATTAGTAATGATATTATGGAGATTGCGTCTATTCTCTATTGGTCAATTCTCAAATTGGCATTGTAGGATTGTTTTTACATTGGGTCTTATCTCAAATAGTATTAATGGTATTATTGAGACTGCGACTATATTTGAGTGTATTCTCAAATACAGTTATTTTGTCTACACTGGGGTCTAATCTCAAATAGTAATATTGGTATTGTGTGGACTCTCAAATATTAGTATTGTGAGATTGTTGGTACATTGGCGTTGGTTCTCAAATATTAGTAATCGTATTGTGGGATTGCGTTTACACTGGAATATATTCGCAAATATTAGTAATGGTAATCTATATTTAGGTCTATTTTCAAATATTAGTATTTGTATTACAGTTATTATGTCTATACTAGGTATTGGAGTTTATTCTAAAATATTAGTGTTTATATTAAGAAAATTGTGTCTAGATTTGGGTCTAATATCAATTATTAGTGTTAGTATTACGGAAAACTGTGTCTACAACAGGTTCTATTCTGAAATATTGGTGTTAATATTATGAGAACTGTCTACAATTTGGTCTGTTCTCAAATATTAGCGTTAGTATTACGAGAACTGTCTACATTTGGGTATATTACTGTCAAAAGAGTAAGAGTAAGTTATTACTAGGGTATTGTGGACCCTGACATTAATAAAGGCTGTCAGAAGAGTAAGTTGTGAATATGGTGTATCCAGCTGGTAGACCCTGGCATTGATAAAGGCTGCCAGATGAGTAAGGGTGACTAGGGCATATCCAGCTGGTAGACCCTGGCATTGATGAAGGCTGCCAGCAGAGTAAGTTGTGACTTGGCCATATCCAGCTGGTAGACCCTGGCATTGATGAAGGCTGCCAGAAGAGTAAGTGGTGACTTGGGCATATCCAGCTGGTAGACCCTGGCATTGATGAAGGCTGTCAGAAGAGTAAGTTGTGACTAGGGCATATCCAGCTGGTAGACCCTAGCATTGATGAAGGCTGTCAGAAGAGTAAGTTGTGACTAGGGCATATCCAGCTGGTAGACCCTGGCATTGTGACTGGGACATATCAAGCTGGTAGACCCTGGCATTGATGAAGGCTGTCAGAAGAGTAAGTTGTGACTAGGGCATATCCAGCTGGTAGACCCAGACATTGATAAAGGCTGTCAGAAGAGTAAGCAGTGACTAGGGTATATCGAGCTTGTAGACCCTGGCATCGATGAAGGCTGCTAGAAGAGTAAGTGGTGACTATGGTGTATCCAGCTGGTATACCCTAGCATTGATGAAGGCTGCCAGAAGAGTAATGGTGACCAGAGCATATCCAGCTGGTAGACCCTGGCATTGATGAAGGCTGCTAGAATAGTATGTTGTGACTAGGACATATCAAGCTGGTAGACCCTAGCATTGATAAAGGCTGCCAGAAGAGTAAGTTGTGTTTAGGACATATCAAGCTGGTAGACCATCACTTTGATAAGGGCTTTCAGAAGAGTAAGTTGTGACTAGGGCATATCCAGCTGGTAGACCCTGGCATTGATGAAGGCTGCTAGAAGAGTAAGTTGTGACTAGGGTATATCTAGCTGGTAGACCCTGGCATTGACAAAGGCTGCCAGAAGAGTAAGTTGTGACTATGGTGTATCCAGCTGGTAGATCCTATCATTGAAAAAGGTGTCAGGAAGAGTAAGTGGTGACTATGGTGTATCCAGCTGGTAGACCCTAGCATTGATGAAGGCTGCCAGAAGAGTAATGGTGACCAGAGCATATCCAGCTGGTAGACCCTGACATTGATGAAGGCTGCTAGAATAGTATGTTGTGACTAGGACATATCAAGCTGGTAGACCCTAGCATTGATAAAGGCTGCCAGAAGAGTAAGTTGTGTTTAGGACATATCAAGCTGGTAGACAATGGCTTTGATAAGGGCTTTCAGAAGAGTAAGTGGTGACCAGGGCATATCCAGCCGGTAGACCCTGGCATTGATGAAGGCTGCCAGAAAAGTAAGTTGTGACTAGGGCATATCCAGCTGGTAGACCCTGACATTGATGAAGGCTGTCAGAAGAGTAAGTGGTGACTGGGATATACCTGACTTGTAGACCCTGACATTGATGAAGGCTGCTAGAATGAGTAATGGTGACTAGGGTATATCTAGCTGGTAGACCCTGGCATTGACAAAGGCTGCCAGAAGAGTAAGTTGTGACTATGATGTATCCAGCTGGTAGATCCTAGCATTGAAAAAAGTGTCAAGAAGAGTTAGTTGTGACTAGGGATATATATGTAGACCCGAGCATTGATGAAGGCTGCCAGAAGAGTAAAGGTAAATACAGGGCTATGCTGAACAGTCTAATGCTTGTAGTAAATAATATATTCTTCAGTTTCTCAATATAAGTTAGAATAGCACTTTTAATTTTGAATACTCATCTTAGACTAAGATTATGTTATAGGGGTTATAGCTTGTTATATAGGAGTCTATACTCATGGTTGAAAATACACAGAATGTATCCATTTTGCACTAAATTATGCTTCTGACCCATACTCCATTGTTAAGATTAAAGCGCG